GATCTATACTTGGATCTGTTTTACGTCTTAATCAAATCTGTTTGTTACTAAAGGATCTGATTGTTGTTACATCAGTCATGTTTGCAGATGACACAACTCTGGTCCATGCTCATTCAGATGTTGGTCTGTTAATCAGTTACCAGAATTGCTTGCATGGTATGTACTGAACTAATTGTCTGTAAGCAGGGATGTCCACTGTCATTGGTCTAACATTGATATCAGCTGATATTGGCATTAAAATGTAATATTGGAAAGCATCAGTATCAGTTTCTATTGGTATTGTAAAAACTTTGACAGTCTTTGAGAAATTAGACTTTGTTTATCCAGTCCTCAGACTAGTTTTTAGTCTGGTTCTGTGTGGGGCTCTGGGTGGTTTAAAATATTTCTGTCATGATGTTTGATTTACTAATTTCTTTAAATTTCTATGGTCTGTATTACTATTTTAAAGTAGTTTTAGTTTTTATATAATTAATGATCCGTTCATATGTATTTAATTGATTGCATGAATATTTATGATTTTGGGCTTGAACATGAGCTTTTTCTGTCTGAATCTGTTTTTGTTTGAACAAACACGTGAGTTATTTGTTCTACATTCAAATGTATCATTTCAAATATCATCATCATAGCTGTCTAACTCTTTAATGCACACCACCAATAAAGTACTGAAAAATGTTTCTCCTTGTGTTTTTACTTGCATGCACAAGGGTTAAACAATGGCCTTGGGATTGAGGAGGTGTTTTACGTGGAGGATGGTGGCTGTAGGAGCATCAAGCTTCAGTAAATCAGCAGTTTTAGACGTTGGACATCAAACCAGATCCTGTGGGTTCCTAATCGGACCGTTTATAACAAAGCTGTTGAAGTGATTAATAACATTTACAAACGCTGGAGTGTTTTAGTTTCTTGAGATGAAGCGGATCAGTCAGTGTCTCAGAGTTTACCTGAGTGTGTGTGGAAGGATTCTACACGTGTCACAGTGTGTGTACGTTTGAGATGAGCTGGTGGGGTTTAGTCTCGTCACTGCGACTCCAGCTGTTAGCCACTGCTTATCCTTCCTTTTTCTGGGTGGACGACAGAACTCTCAGTGGCACCAGGAGAGTTCTGCACAGATCCGTTAAAGCTCTGTCTGCTCTAAACACGTCTCTGAGAAGTTGACCATGATCAAAAGCCCACTTTCACCAAGGCCTGGATGTCAAACAGACTCCTGCTGTGTTTGAAACGGAGCCTTGAGGAGTGGTTGGTTCTGTTTGATCCAACCCGTTCCAACACGGAGCTCTGCTGTTTCCTTTTGCAGTAATGAGTGCCAGAATGGAAGCTGCCCAGTTGGCCCGCTGCTGCAGCTTCATTAGTGGCCCCGCACTATTTGGTTTGGCTGTAATTTACTGCTGCTGCCTTCAACTGGTCCCAGTCGGTCATTTACCTGGACCAGCAGCTCATCAGAGGACAGATCGGGGTGTCCACAAGTCCATGATATGAGACATCAGAGACATCTGTGATGAGTAATGTGAAAACCCCACAGAGCAGGATGGAAACTTCTACATTAGATAGAGAATTGTGGAAGACAAGAACATGTTTACAGTTTCATGTTTATGTTGAGTTCTGGGTTTTTATTCTGTATTTATTAACATTTAGTTTTTTTAACGGTTTCTTTCCTGTTTTGGCTGTGAAAGAGTCCAGAACCAGGTGAGCTGTTCTTTTACCAGAGTCCGTTTGGTCCTGGTGAATGAACGAATGAACGAATGAATGAATGAATGAATGAATGAATGAATGAATGAATGAATGAATGAATGAATGAATGAATGAATGAATGAATGAATGAATCTACAACAAGCTAATCATGTGGACACCAGTCTGTTGCATCAAACAAACTAAAAGGGAGATTTCATTATTTGCATCGTCTGTAGCGAACTTAAATTTGCACAAATGAATAAAATCTGCAGGTGAACACATGATCATGTTTATAGTCATATTTGAACTCACTGTATTCTAGAATAGGAGCCATTTAAAGTTATATCCTTTGTTTATTTCTGATCCAGACATATTTAAATGTTTTTGTTCTTTTCACGTCTGCAGCAACGGCGTGAATAAACTAGAAATGGTTTCAGAATATTTTTTAACAAAAATTAGATGAATCTGTTTCATTTAAACAGCAACAGAAAAAGTACCTTTTACACACAAATTCAACTGTTTTAATTGTTATTTTGTGTAAAATGTTTTATTTATTACATGGAAACAAACTCATGAGATGGAGTAAAGAAGTTCGCCACCTGGTGGTGTAGGTTGGCATCTAAGTCTAGTGTGTGTGTGTGTGTGTGTGTGTGTGTGTGTGTGTGTGTGTGTGTGTGTGTGTGTGTGTGTGTGTGTGTGTGTGTGTGTGTGTGTGTGTGTGTGTGTGTGTGTGTGTGCGTGCGTTCTTTCTTCACTCAGCTCTAATATCAGAAACCCTCTGCCTCCATTGCCTGAATTTTCCAATGATATAAAACAGTGAAATAATTTTAAAAGGGTGAATAAAGATGATGATTTAAAACCCCCAACAAATCCCTGGAGTGTGTCCAGGAGGGGCGACACGTCTTTATAATATTTCTACAATAAATATGTAAGTTGTTTGTGACAGACTAGAGATCTGACACTACCTTTATTTAGTGAGGTTTCAGGCCTCCTCCTCCTCCTCCTCCTCCTTCTCCTCCTCCTCCTCCTCCTCCTCCTCCTCCTCCTCCTCCTGGGATTGGAGACTTCCTGATCAGCTGGGATCAGATAGCTGCACCTGAAGGCAGCAGCCAATAGGTTGTATCCTAAGGAGAGAGCAGCATCTTTCTGACCCGTGATCAGCATCAGTCCGGCTGTCAGCAACATTTAAACAGAGCAGTTACCTTTGATGTTGCAGGTAAGGTTTAAACAGGGGTCACCAGCTTTGTGTTGGTCAGATAAACACCCAACAGCTTTTTCAGGCTGCACATTGCTTTGACTTCTAATCATATAGTTTAATCATATAATTTCAATAAACTAATTCAGCCAAAAAAAACTATAGGAATGGGTATTTATATATTGGTGCACTCAGATATTTATAAACTCCAAAGAGTTTATTTTAAGTGGAAAACACTTTTTAAATCTAATAAAAATAAACATGTCTAAAACTAATGTTGTGAGTTTATTTTAGTCTGGAAAGATGAACTGGACCATTCCAGTTTTGTTTTATATCAGCAGTTTGATTGAATTAGATCATTACAAGCAGTTAATTTAATGTAAGTGATGGGTCCTGGTTTCTAGGAAGCTTAAAATGTTCATGTTTGTTATCTATATTACAGATTCATTAAAACAAGATCAGTCATTGATGATACTAATAATAACAATAACAATGTTTTATGTAATAATAATAATTATTATTATTATTATTATTATTATATAAAAATATCAATAATAATCATGTTTTATATAATAATAACAACAATAATAATAATTATTATTATTATTATTATTATTATGTTTTTATATAATAATAATAATAATTACACGATATTTTTATTTTATCTTATTTTATTTTATTACTATCAGAGAGAGAGAGAGAGAGAGAGAGAGAGAGAGAGAGAGAGAGAGAGAGAGAGAGAGAGAGAGAGAGAGAGAGAGAGAGAGAGAGAGCTCTGTCGCATAAAAGTTTTGCTCCAACTGCTTCCATGTTTTGCTCTGACAGCAACAACCTGCTCCGCTCACGTCCCAGACCCGTGAATGATGGTGGCCTTTTACCCCACGCCGTAAGCAGCCATTACTTCTGATCCACGGGACCTCCACGGGAGTCTATTGATCACTCATTGACTGATTGATTTGGACAAATACTCCTGTCTCCCGGAGCGGGGTGAGCCGCAACAAAGGCCCCGTGATAGGAGGAGAGCTGGGGACTGTTGCTGCAGAAAGAAAAGAAACTGAAGGAGGAGGAGCAGGAGGAGGGGGGCTCCTCTAATTAGGAAGCCGGGCGGTGACGAGGCTGTGGCCGGCAGGCAGGCGACAGGCGCCTGGGCCCGGACAAAAGGCTGTCTGCTGCCCCAAACTCCCCCTGCACACACACACACACACACACACACACACACACACACACACACACACAC